GTCTGCCGCTGGAGCAGCAGGGCCTGAAGCTCTCCTTCACCCCCTTCCGCGTGCTCTCCGTCCTCTTGGTCCTGAGGCAGTGACACCAGCCCTCGCCCTCGCTGGTGCCGCGCAAAGCAGCAACCTAGACCAACACCGTGAGCTCAGATTGCAGCCTGAGCCTTCCCCGATTCCAAGAGCTGTGCGAGGAGGTGGAGGTTCCAGGGAAGGGCAGAGTCTCCCCCTCACCCAGCCGTCGGAGAGCAGCGCTCAAGAACAACCGTGTTCTTCAGGAAAGGAGGATGGTTTCCCCTGCCTAACCAGGGGAGGAGGGCCCGAGTGAGTTCCTAGCTAGCTGAAGCCTGGGTAAGGTTGTGGGACAGGCTGGCTGGCCCCGCACAGGCTCTGCTCCCACCCCCGGGGGGTTTGGGGAGCAGCAGCTTTCCACGGTGGCTGCTGTGTCTCAGCCTTCATCTTGTCCAGATGCTAGCAGCAAGCGTAAAGACGTATTAGAGTCATTCCCCTCACCCTTCACCCACCTCTTGCAAAGGGGAACACAAGTAAACAGGAGAATTACACGAAAACAAGCTCCAGCCTGTTCTTAAGTTATTTCCAGATAATGGCACTGATCTGTCTCCTCCCAGGGGATCTGTTGTAGCTGCTGCTCTGCTAGTGTCCTCAGCAGGATCTCGCTCCTAGGACTGGGGAGGCAGAGCTTACCTTTATTTTTGGGGGGTGAGGTGGAGGGGAAGCCTGCCTCAGCCCATCTGGGGAAGAGGCTGGGCACGGAGGGCTTATCCTTAGCACAAAAAGGTGTGCACAGTGATTTCTACACAAAATACTTTTATTAGTCAGCTAAAAACCGTGATCCAGGCAGCAGCCAGAAAGGGAAGAGGGGAAGGGAGCAGGAATCCACTTTTAGGCAGAGGGGAAGGGTCAGAGTCCAGCACAATGTGTGGTCCGTGGCCCTTATCCCCCTCTAATGCCTGGGGACAGCAGGAGGACACTGGATAAATCAGCTCCATCACCAAGCCCAGCTTCTCCTTTGCACACTGGCAAGTTGCAGCAGTAGCAAGCGGGTGTGAGCACAGGTACAGGGCAGCCCCGTTTCTCCCCAGCACTAGCCAGGCCCCCAGCCAGGCCCTCCCTGAGCTCCTCCTGTGGCTGTTAAGATGCCCCTCAGGAGGAGGGCAGCGTGTGGCACTCACAC